TAAGCCATCTTTAGTACAGAAAAATACCAACACAGTTCATATCTATTATTCGAGAAGCGACAACAAAATACGTGACTGTAACTGTGGAAAAAATATAACCGTGAAAAATATAGAATTACACGAGGCTTTTTCGTGTGTTTTTACGCACACAGCTTCAGGTATTTCTGTTTTTTTTTCAATGTGGTATGTTTATTTTTATCTGTTATGTAATTATTAAGAGTTACTGGAATGATGGACCTTACTGCCCGGTTTGAAACAAGTCTCGTCAGCCACCCAAGTGTCAGATAAATGTTAATTTAAACACTTACCAAACATTTCACAAGTGTCATCTTAAATAACAAAACAATTAACAACATATGACAACAATCCTGTAATTAACATTATTTTAACCAAACGTAAATCATCCGTCAACCTTACTAGCCCAGGAGCTGTATGATGCCCTCATACTCTCACTCACCTCTGCTTGCATAACCTCGGTTCGACCTTAACAGAGGCACCAGGGGAGATATGGTTACGACCTCCAAGATACTCAGAGGCTTTAACAGAGACGAGGTCAGAGCTGGTCAGTCAAAATTATATATACAGTAAACTCTCTTCTAAAGCTCCTCTCTATACTGTGATTTTTTAAATGTTATTCTAAAAGATCATAAATTTTTATAGCACCAGCTGCTCAATTTGGAGTCAATTTTCAATTGTATTTTAAAAATCACATATATAGAGAAGCTTTCTAAGAGCTTTCTCTAGAAGAGAAAGCTTTCTCTTCTAAGAAAGCTTTCTCTAGAGGAGAAAGTTTCCTCTAGAAGGGAAGAGAAAGCTTTCTCTAGAGAAAGTTTTCTCTAGAAGAGAAGAGAAAGCTTTCTCTAGAAGAGAAACCTTTCTATAGAAAAGAAAGCTTTCTCTAGAGGAGAAAGTTTTCTCTAGAGGAGAAAGTTTTCTCTAGAAGAGAAAGTTTTCTCTAGAAGAGAAAGTTTTCTCTAGAGGAGAAAGTTTTCTCTAGAAGAGAAGAGAAAGCTTTCTCTAGAAGAGAGAGAAAAAAGATAAGAGGAGAGAGATTTAGAGGATGTAATGTATGTAAATACGTACTAGTATATACATTAATATGTAGATTCAAAATTCGTTATGGGTCTAAGAATATATGCTAACACACTCATTCCTACCAGCTGAGAGAACACGAAGCTACACGCTTCTCCAGGACTGAGGGACTGATCACCTCTCAACTACCACTTCAAGACTGAGGGACTGATCACCTCTCAACTACCACTTCAAGACTGAGGGACTGATCACCTCTCAACTACCACTTCAAGACTGAGGGACTGATCACCTCTCAACTACCACTTCAAGACTGAGGGACTGATCAACTCTCAACTACCACTTCAAGACTGAGGGACTGATCACCTCTCAACTACCACTTCAAGACTGAGGGACTGATCACCTCTCAACTACCACTTCAAGACTGAGGGACTGATCACCTCTCAACTACCACTTCAAGACTGAGGGACTGATCACCTCTCAACTACCACTTCAAGTACTGAGGGACTGATCACCTCTCAACTACCACTTCAAGACTGAGGGACTGATCGCCTCTCAACTACCACTTCAAGACTGAGGGACTGATCACCTCTCAACTACCACTTCAAGACTGAGGGACTGATCACCTCTCAACTACCACTTCAAGACTGAGGGACTGATCACCTCTCAACTACCACTTCAAGACTGAGGGACTGATCAAATCTCAACTACCACTTCAAGACTGAGGGACTGATCACCTCTCAACTACCACTTCAAGACTGAGGGACTGATCGCCTCTCAACTACCACTTCAAGACTGAGGGACTGATCACCTCTCAACTACCACTTCAAGACTGAGGGACTGATCACCTCTCAACTACCACTTCAAGACTGAGGGACTGATCACCTCTCAACTACCACTTCAAGACTGAGGGACTGATCACCTCTCAAACTACCACTTCAAGACTGAGGGACTGATCACCTCTCAACTACCACTTCAAGACTGAGGGACTGATCACCTCTCAACTACCACTTCAAGACTGAGGGACTGATCACCTCTCAACTACCACTTCAAGACTGAGGGACTGATCACCTCTCAACTACCACTTCAAGACTGAGGGACTGATCACCTCTCAACTACCACTTCAAGACTGAGGACTGATCGCCTCTCAACTACCACTTCAAGACTGAGGGACTGATCACCTCTCAACTACCACTTCAAGACTGAGGGACTGATCACCTCTCAACTACCACTTCAAGACTGAGGGACTGATCACCTCTCAACTACCACTTCAAGACTGAGGGACTGATCGCCTCTCAACTACCACTTCAAGACTGAGGGACTGATCACCTCTCAACTACCACTTCAAGACTGAGGGACTGATCAACTCTCAACTACCACTTCAAGACTGAGGGACTGATCAACTCTCAACTACCACTTCAAGACTGAGGGACTGATCACCTCTCAACTACCACTTCAAGACTGAGGGACTGATCACCTCTCAACTACCACTTCAAGACTGAGGGACTGATCACCTCTCAACTACCACTTCAAGACTGAGGACTGATCACCTCTCAACTACCACTTCAAGACTGAGGGACTGATCACCTCTCAACTACCACTTCAAGACTGAGGGACTGATCACCTCTCAACTACCACTTCAAGACTGAGGGACTGATCACCTCTCAACTACCACTTCAAGACTGAGGGACTGATCACCTCTCAACTACCACTTCAAGACTGAGGGACTGATCGCCTCTCAACTACCACTTCAAGACTGAGGGACTGATCACCTCTCAACTACCACTTCAAGACTGAGGGACTGATCACCTCTCAACTACCACTTCAAGACTGAGGGACTGATCACCTCTCAACTACCACTTCAAGACTGAGGGACTGATCGCCTCTCAACTACCACTTCAAGACTGAGGGACTGATCACCTCTCTACCACTTCAAGACTGAGGGACTGATCACCTCTCAACTACCACTTCAAGACTGAGGGACTGATCACCTCTCAACTACCACTTCAAGACTGAGGGACTGATCACCTCTCAACTACCACTTCAAGACTGAGGGACTGATCATCTCTCAACTACCACTTCAAGACTGAGGGACTGATCACCTCTCAACTACCACTTCAAGACTGAGGGACTGATCACCTCTCAACTACCACTTCAAGACTGAGGGACTGATCACCTCTCAACTACCACTTCAAGACTGAGGGACTGATCAACTCTCAACTACCACTTCAAGACTGAGGGACTGATCACCTCTCAACTACCACTTCAAGACTGAGGGACTGATCACCTCTCAACTACCACTTCAAGACTGAGGGACTGATCACCTCTCAACTACCACTTCAAGACTGAGGGACTGATCACCCCTCAACTACCACTTCAAGACTGAGGGACTGATCACCTCTCAACTACCACTTCAAGACTGAGGGACTGATCACCTCTCAACTACCACTTCAAGACTGAGGGACTGATCACCTCTCAACTACCACTTCAAGACTGAGGGACTGATCACCTCTCAACTACCACTTCAAGACTGAGGGACTGATCAACTCTCAACTACCACTTCAAGACTGAGGGACTGATCACCTCTCAACTACCACTTCAAGACTGAGGGACTGATCACCTCTCAACTACCACTTCAAGACTGAGGGACTGATCACCTCTCAACTACCACTTCAAGACTGAGGGACTGATCACCTCTCAACTACCACTTCAAGACTGAGGGACTGATCACCTCTCAACTACCACTTCAAGACTGAGGGACTGATCACCTCACAGCTTCTACTTCAAGACTGAGGGACTAACTTCATTTTTCCCTCTCCATTGCTTCTGCTGTCTACACTTTTACTCAACGCTGCATTCGACTGAAGAAACCTGCTTTGTAGGCGAAACCTTTCGGAAATAAATATACCCCAGCGTTGTACATAGTATTATACACCTTTAATATTATTATTAATATTTATACATTTATTATTATTATTATTATTATTATTATTATTATTATTATTATACGTTAGTATTACTTTTATTATTATATACCATTATTATTATTGGTATTATACACCATTATTATTGCTATTATCCTCACAACGTAGTCTTTAATTAGCACCGTCGTCCAGGTAACAGTACGTCATTAAGACGACGTACAGGTGAGATGTACCGTGGTTGTTTATGCAAGTCACTGTAATTAACGCAAGCGTAGTGGTAGTCTAGATGTGGCAGCCTCGACATTAGCGTATTGAACGTCACATAAATGCTGTGCAAATGTAAATAGGCGTATATCTGTGTATTAGGTTTGAAGCCTGTCTACTACACGAGGGCTCCTTAAAACCTGCATGTCACCGGTTCACGACACGCGTCCGTGTTTTCTTCCCACTGTCCGTATAATATTCCCACGGTCCACATCATGTACCAACGGTCCACATATCCTTCCCACGGTCCACACAATTTCTCCGACGATTCATAGCAAACTGTTTTTACAACTCTGTATATATAGCGTGCGTGACCCGTATATAGCCGTCAGAAGTCACAGTGTGACCACAGGTGGTATAGCCCTTAACACAGGTCAAGTGATGAGGTAGGGTCATCAGGGTCATGACTGTTGTTGCATTACATTCTGTACACAGCTCCATGATGAGATGCAGGGATGATGTGTGTTTCACAGATGGGGGTCAAGGATGCTGCATATCACAGATGGGGGTCAAGGATGCTGTGTCACAGATGGAGGTCAGGGATACTATGTGTCACAGGTGAGATTAAGAGATGCTAGGAATCATAGATGGGGGTCAGGGATGCTGGAAATCACAGTTGGGGTCAGGGATGCTGGGAATCACAGTTGGGGGGCCAGGGATGCTGGGAATCACACTTTAGGTTCAGGGATGCTGAGAATCACAGTTGGGGGTCAGGGATGCTGGGAATCACATATGGGGTTCAGGGATGCTATGTGTCACAGATGGGGGATCAGGGATGCTGAG